CTCTGACCCTGGGGTCCTTCAGTTCAGAGGCTTCTGATAACACCCTGGTGCACCACCCAAGGTAGCACCTGCCCAGATCACAGACAGAATGCTAGGATCTTTGGGTGGGGGTGGGAGTGGGGGTGGGGGTGGGGGGTTGTGGAGTACTGGGGATGGGATAAGGACACATATGTATAATAATAACTTAATCAATAAAGAAAAAAAGAGTACTGGGATCTTTGGTTGGGGATGGAGGGGCAGTGGGGGGAGATAAGGACACATATGTAATAACTTAATAAAGAAAAAAAAGAATACTAGGATATTTGCCTATTTTCCCTCCAGCCTTATTAAGCCCGGGTTTTGGGGACTGGCTTCTGCTCACCCACATCCCACTTGCATGGAATTTTCCTGGTCTGTGCTCCTTTGGCCCCCAGCAGGCTAGGCTATAGGCACGGTGCCACTGTCCACAGAGGGCTGTCTCCTAGTCGGGGCTTTTAGGGCAGGAATAGGAAGCTGAGGCTCAAATCGACTGAACAACTTGCCAAGGTCCCAGCTAGGAAGAGGCTAGGCTAGAAATTTTGTTGGGGTTGTCTGCTGCAGTTACCGCATTTTGCCTTGGTCTGGCAGGAGCTTTGGAAGAGTCAAAACATCAGATGATGAAGCTCACATCCTGGCATTCTTGTTGCAGGTTGCTGTGTGAGTTAGGGGAAATGACTTCACCTCATCTGTGAAATACTGCCCACCGTGAGTACGAAATGAGACAGTACAGAACATAGGAGCTCCCAGCAGTTTCAGGCATGTGGGTTGCTGTGTATATGTTGGTTATCATCATCATCATTATCTGTAACCTCCTGGGTCTTCTGGACTATACTGCATCTATTTTTTTTTTTTTAACAATAATGGGGATATTTGGGGTCATATTTTTGTTTCCAGTTGGCAGACTGGGTCACAGTGTGTCTTGATACATCTTATCTGCAACACATTGGGTCATATAAGTTGTTTCCTTAAAAGTTGATCATGGACAACGGTCTGCTTATGAGAAGGTGCGGCCAACTCTTTGGGCTTTGATTTCTTCCTTGCCTGGGGCCTTGGTCCCTGACCTTCTTTCAATTTAACTGTGATTCTCTCTGGAGGGTTCCCAGTGCAGGTCGGGTCTCCTGGCTCTCCTCTCCTTACCATCAGTGAAATAAGTGAAGTCATTCCTGGCATTAAGTGAAGTCAATGCCAAGGGCTTTGGGGTGATTGGGAATAAGGAAGTGGGAAACAGGGATCACTGAGGTGAGTTACAAGGAAGCTTCTCAGGCATATGGACAGCTGGACAGGCAGTCAGGTGGACAGATGTGAGGTGTCTAAGAGACCTCATTTGGTAAATCAATTGCTTTCTTTTCTGAACAGCTTCATAAGAATCTGTTCCTTGTGAGGCTTTGAGGAGCAGAGCCTGGTCTTGAATTTCTCTGCAGCCCTTTCCTGCCTGGAGCACTGACTGACGTTGATCCAGATCATCTTAGTTCAGGCAAAGGAGTGTTTAATGCTTGCTGACTAGTTATCGAAAGGAAATTTGTGATTTCTGGGACACACACACACACACACACACACACACACACACGCTATAAATTTTGAGGTATTTTGTTGTTTCTGCTGTGTGTTATCATCTCTTCACTCCCTGCCTGTCTTTCAGTCTGGGACCTGTTCTTTTATCCTCACACACTCCCAGGTTACTCTTACATCCATTTTGCAGTGGGAAACATCTGATTCTGTATATTCCATTATGTCAAGATGGGACTAGCAGCCAAGCTGAGCCACCTGCTGCCGTCCCTGAGTTGACCTGCCCAGTCTACTTGGCATTGGCCACCCCTGGGGTCACCCAGAGAGCACCATGTGCATCTCTGTGGCTCTGAGCACCTTCCTCCTTTAGCTTAGCAGGAACTTGGGAATGAGAGGAGGGGCTTCTGTCATGTCAGCCTTGATCTGCAGCATATGGGGACCCATATCTACTGCCCTAAGGTCATAAGGCCACAGCAACAGTTGTGTTAGTGCCAACTCCTAGGTACAGGAGCTCTGTATATTCGCTTCCTCTATGCAATTTCTAGTGCTTCTCTGGCTGGAGAGTCTCTCTCTTTCTTTGTATCACCCATCCTTAATCTCCCTCCCACTCTCAATCTTCTGTCCTATCTAGCATTGAACGTCTGATTGGAAGTAACATATATATGTATGCTACTCCTTACAGAGAATGATTAAAACTTCAGTTGCCCATCTCCCCAACATATTCCTCCATGCATCTTCTATGTATCAGGCAATAAGCCAGATTAGAGAGATATTTTTCTTTTTAAACCAGAATCTATCACCCTGGAGTTGAAAGAACAACAAAAATAATGCTAATTTTCTTTAAAATGACTGTATTCCTATTTTCTGCCTATGGTGAGACCCTGAAGATGTCTGCACAGCAGACATGTATCATTGTAAACTGGGTGAGATTAGAGACCTAGGCTTGTTGGGGAGGAGAGTCTTGGATTTCTGCAGGAACCACCTGGTTGAGTGAAAACTTGGGAAGCCTAGCCAGTGGTGATTAGGAATGTGTGAGATGGAACAGTGAAGTGGAAAGGAGGATGGAGGGGCCAACCAGACAGACTGAGTCTTTCCATTAGATGTTGCACCAAATTTCCATTTGATGGCCTGACAAAGGCTGGTCTCATTTGATCCACGCAGAGCTAGGGATGGTGAGGACTTTTCTGAGAGTTTAGAGATGAAGAAACATGTGCCCAGGGTAACGTGTCCAATGTGAGGCAGAGCACTTTTCACTTCTGAAAATCCTGCAGGATTTACTGAATGGCCACCTTGACTCATGAAAAGAGAAGGATCAGCCCCCTTCCCATCCCCCCTTGTACCCCTCCTGCTCCCCTGAGGTTCCCATGTTTCCCATTTCACCAGGGGGGGCCTGTCTGCTCTGGCCAAGAGGTCTGACTCTCAACTCAGGCTTGATTAACTACAGTGTGACCCCATGATCTGTGGGTGCAGAAGATGGTGCTGGTACAGTGCACTCTGGCCTTTTTGCGTCTTAATTTCAAGGGCCAGAAGCTGTTGAAAACAAAGGACTAAAGAGACCAGCCCCAGGAATGAATGCTCAGAGTAGGTGGGTGTGGAAGGTGTGTGTGCTCACATGTATGGGCTGGTGAGTAATGGGCTGAGGAGGAGCAGCTGACAGCCTGCCAGGCTCAGGACAGCTGCCAGGGGGCTCTGAGGGACCTTCCCAGTGCCCTCCTCTCTCGGATCACCACACAGTAAATGAGATGATTCCCGCAGACTGCCCAGGAGCCCGTCAATATCCATTCTAATCTCCCTGGCAGCCCCAGAGGTGAATTTACAGCGATGTGGTAAAAATGAGGCTGCATGATCAATGCATCTCTGGACGGCCTCTTCCAGGAGACACAAATGTATATTGCAACAAAACTTTATTTTCTTCCGAAAATTGCCTATACATGATTAATATGGCCCGACACAGGCCAAGCTGTTCAGCATAAAAAACAGCCACATTTCTTGCTCCATCTTCTTCCTGCTTTGCTCACTCCATTCCTTCCTCCCGTGTGTGGGTTTTGCTCTCACACTTTGTGCTCTACAGGGGGAAGGGGAATGCGAGATCCGGATTCCAGTCCACCTTGTTTCTCCTTGTATTTCCAGGGTGGCTCAGACTAAGCGTGGAACCAAATGCCCAGTGTGTGGGTGCTTCTGGGACTGAGCCATGCAGAGCACGTCCTCTGAGCATTTTACTATCTCTAACGTCATCAGCTCTCTGCCCCGAGTCCAGCATGGATGAAAAGGATTCTCCCCTTTCGCCCTATCTTTGGGATGGGGCAGTTGCTGGGACATAAGAGGGAGGACCTCTTAGGCAGGTGGTGCCACTTTCTGTCCTCACGGAGGTTTTAGAAAGAAGAGATGGGGTGTGTCAGGAAGCTGAGGACCCGCTTCCTTGATTATGATTATGTGCACGTGTGTATTATGTCTCCTAGAGCAGTGTTTCCCAACCTTCTCTCATGATGAGAATCACCTGGTGGAGTTGTTAAAACACAGATTCCTGAATCCCAACTAAGAAGTGCTAAACTAGAATTTTTGGGAACATATAGGTAAAATTGCATACCTAACTTAGTGCTCTGTATATAAAATCTGTCTTAGAGCACTAGTTAAGTATACAATTTTACCTATATGTTCCCAAAAATTCTAGTTTAGCACTTCTTAGTTGGGATTCAGGAATCTGTGTTTTAACAACTCCACCAGGTGATTCTCATCATGAGAGAAGGTTGGGAAACACTGTGACCTAGAGCGTAAGCTCTGTGAGAGCAGGGGTCTCCTGTAGATGTCTTAGTAGGGGTTCCCCCAGAAGCTGACCCTGATACAAAGAGTTGAGTGCATTAGTCTATTTGGGAAATAGAGAGGGGACTGGGGAAGTAGGACTGGGAAGGGAAGGAATCCCCAAAGGGGGTGCCATGCAGATTGTTACTGTGTGTGTGACCGGAACTTCATCTCAGGAGGACCCTGGGAGGCAGTGTAAAAACTACCTCTCAGAGTCAACCTGCTCCAGAGCTGAGAAGTCAGGTGTTTATGCACCAGCCCCCAGCAGTCTCTGGATGAGAGCTGATGAGGGCGGGTAACTGCTTAGGTGACATCATAGCAGCTGAACCCCGGACAAGGAAGTGCAGGTGCCCGAGTGAGCAGTTGGACAGGTGGGCACTGATATGACCAGGGGGTACATGTGGGCGCAGCAGCCTGTGGTATGGCAGATGTGTGCCCAAGACTGTGCTTCCCATTCGTACAAAGTTGGCAAATTTGGGATAAGTGGGGCTGGATCCCTTGACTCTCTCCTTAGGTTTTTATTCTCAGTTCTTAACCAAGAGACCCAGTTGGTACAGGGAACCAGTGGTTCACACCTCAGGATGACGTGTACAAGGATTGGGTGGACGTCCTTCCTGTGTCCAGCACAGCCCTGTGCCCCTCCTTTCTGACGTGGCTCTCCCTGCTCTCCTCCCCAGGTGTAAGGAGCTGAAGTACGCCAAGGAGCTGCCCCAGATCTCCATCATTTTTATCTTTGTGAACGAAGCCCTGTCGGTGATCCTGCGGTCTGTCCACAGCGCTGTCAACCACACGCCCACACACCTGCTGAAGGAAATCATCCTGGTGGATGACAACAGCGATGAAGGTATGGGGGTGGCTGACCCAGGGGTTTCTTAGAGAGGAGGATGCAAACTCACAGTATCAGCAGGGGCAATGCCCCTTCATTCCAGCACCAGCCCAAGTGTCTCTGTCTTCTGTTCTTGGGGTGTATCCGGGGAAAGGGAGAAGTTTGGAGGAGGAAGTCCAGGCAAACACTTTCATTAGTTGATGAGTCCTCTAGGGCTGAGAGAAAATGACCGGTGATGTATCTAGACTAATTTTAACTTCCTCTCTTCTTATTAATAAAGGAGATGGCATCAGAGATCTGAATTCCTCCACATACCCCCTTTCCTGGGAGGCTAGAGGACCAGGGAAATTCTGTGCTCTGATGGGAAGTCCTACCTCAGAATTCCTCTCTGGGCCACTGTGCCCACAATGACTGTGGATAGAAATGAGCGGAGTTTGCCGAAACCGGTTTGGCTCAGCGGTAGATCGTCGGTCTGCGGACTGAGAGGTCCCAGGTTCAATTCCGGTCAAGGGCATGTACATTGGTTGCGGCACATCCATGGTGGGGGGGGGGGGGTGCGGGAGGCAGCTGGTCGATGTTTCTCTCTCATCGACGTTTCTAGCTCTCTATCTCTCTCCCTTCCTCTCTGTAAAAAGTCAATAAAATCTATTAAAAAAAGAAAAAGAAAATTAAATCAGCTTTGGACTGATTTGCTTTAAAAAAAAAAAAAAAAAAGAAGAAGAAGAAGAAAGAAGCAGAGTTTGCAGGCCTTTTGGAACTGAGCTCTGTGGGGAATGGTGGCTCAATTTAAAAATATAAAACAAGCAAATACCGGATGGCAGCAGCAGAAGTTCTGTGAGGTCCTTGGAGATGAGAGCCTGGTGTTGAGTTGGTGGGGGGTTGGTTTGGCTAATTGTACCTTCATGTTGGCTCATAGCCTGCAAAATCCACTGTGCTCAGTGCAGGGAAAGAACTCACAGCAGGTGACAGACAGAGAGCCAGCCAGGAGGCTTATCTTCTGAGCAACTGTAGGATTAAGGGGCAGCTGAACCCCTTGCTCTCAGCAGACTGACCACAGATGGATCATCCTGTGAGCTCCTGGTTGGGAGAGGCAGGATGAACCACAGGCCCTGTTTGAAACCTGAGTATCTTGGGGAGCTCCGGGTGACCCACTCACATTTGATTGGCTCAAGGGCTGAAGTCCCCCTGCCCCTTCTGAACCTGCATTATAGCAGGGTGCCCTCAGGCACTACTCTTTGCTGGTGGGGAGTCCTCTGGATTTGGAGGACAAATGGGCCATTTGCTGAATTTTTCACATCCCTATTTTTCTTTTTTGATCTCTGGCCTTTTCATTATCTATATATTCTTTTAAAACTGACATTGAGCCCTGATCTATGAATCAGAAGATCTCCGTTTGATTCCTGGTCAGAGCACATGTCTGGGTTGCGGGCTTGATTCCCAGTAGGGGGCCTGCAGAAGGCAACCAGTCAATGATTCTCTCTCATCATTGATGGTTCTATCTCCCGTTCCCTCTCTGAAATCAATAAAAATACATTTTTAGAAAACTGACATCGAGAGTCTTGTTGTGAGATGGAGGCTTGCAGTTCCTTGAAGCCTCTAAGTCAGTGGTTCTCAACCTTTCTAATGCCACGATCCTTTAATACAGTTCCTCATGTTGTGGTGACCCCCAACCATAAAATTATTTTTGTTGCTACTTCATAACTGTAATTTTGCTATTGATAATGAATTGTAATGTAAATACCTGTGTTTTCCGATGGTCTTAGGCTCTACAGCAGCGGTTCTCAACCTGTGGGTCGCATCCTCTGGCAGAGCTCGGCCTGGCTGCTCACAGCGTACCTGCCAGCCTCTCTGTTCACCCAGACAGACCTCTTGCTTCAGCGGGACTTTCAAACCCCTGCAGGGAATCTCTGCTACTACCCACCCTCCTCACTGCTGGCTAACCCCACTCCTTCCCCAGGTCTCCCAGGGTGTCACACCCTCCAAGACTTTGCCGACATCCTAAGTCCCTGCTCTATACTGCTGTGATACCCTGTACCCTCCTGGAGCCCATGATACCGCCTCGACCTGCATATCCTCACTCCAAGTTCTGGGCAGGACTTTGTCCTATGGGCCTGGCTGGTAGCTGACCCTTAGTCAAGGAGCTAGCAACTGTGGGCTGGAAGTGCCACTCAGAAGAGCTGGCCAACCCAGAAAAGAGAGGGACTGAGAATGAGGTGAGGACTCACTGCCGGTGGGGCTCTCTGTCCCACAAAAATCTCGCAGAGCCTGGCCGGAGAGGAGGGAATGGTGTCTCCATAGATGCCTTAGCTTGGGTTCCCCTACACACAGACCCTGAGACAAAGAGTTGAATGCATTAGCTTATTTGGGAGGTGAAGAGGGGCCTGGGGAAGTAGGACTGGGGAGGGAAGGCACCCCTCAAAGGGGGTGTCATGCAGATTTTTAGTGTGGTTAACAGGAGCTTCATCCCAGGGGGCCTCTGGAGTCAGTGTAAAAGTGCCTCAGGATTATCCTGCTCCAGGGCTGAGGGAGCCAGGGCGTCTATACACCGCTAGCATTAGATGTTTTCCCCTGGGAACCTTGTGGCTCCCTACCCTGGAGGAAGCTCAGTTTCAGGAGTTCAAGGTGGGGCAAAGAGATTTGCATTTTTTACTGGCTCCTGGGGGATTCCCCTGGTGCAGGGACCACACTTGGAGAACCACTGAGTCAAGTACCGTTTCAGTAATCCACACTTCAGCTTTCATGAAGATGGTCAGTGGGTGAGAACAAGCAGAAAGAGGCATTTGGTCCATTCTGACCTTAACGCTAACTCCCATTCATCCTTCCCTGTCCTCCCCAGTATCTAGCACAGGGGTGGGAAACCTTTTTTTCTGCCAACAGCCATATGGATATTTATAACGTCATTCCAGGGTCATGCAAAATTATCAACTTAAAATGCATTTGCTTGCTATATTTGGTCAAACATTTTATTAACTCGGCCTGAATGTCTCGGCAGAGCCAGACCAAATGATTTCACAGGCTTTATTCTGTTTACAGACCATAAGTTCCCCACCTCTGGCCTATGGAACCAGGAGTGGACTACATTAATGTTCTCTCTCCCTCTGTCTTTCTCTCTTTCTCTCCCTCTCTCTCTCTCTCTCTCTCTCTCTCTCTCTCTCTCTCTCTCTCTCGGAAAAGAAGGCACTCCTATACTTTCTCTTTAATGGGAAGATAAATTTAACATTTTTTTCTTTATTAAGGTTTTCCTTGTGACTAGTATTATTGAGTTTTGTGAATGTTCTATATACACTTGAAAAGACCCCCACACTGCGATCACGGAATTGAATTCCTGCCAGACATCAATTATGTGTATTTAGATAGACTGGGGGTTTGTCTTCTTACGTCTCTTTGATAATGGTGTTTTAACATCACCTTCTACACTGTCTGTTCCTTCCCGTGTTTTTAATAATGTTTGATTTCTGTATCTTGTCAGTTTCTTTGGCAACATAGATTTGTATCTGCATGGCTTCATTGTTAGTGGAGGTTATTACCATTATGTAATGTTCCCTTTATCTTCAAGAATACCTTTTTTTTTCTTGTCTTGCATTTATATTGCCTAGCATTAATATTTTTTATCCCTTCTTACCGTCTGTTTCGAGTTTGATTAAAATATTTTTTCCCAGCCTTCCCATGTTTCTGATCTTAAAAGTAATACATGCTCTTTGTAGGGAAATTTGAATGTGTCCAAAAGCACATCTAATTGAAAAAAACAAACAAAACAAAACACAAATACTGTGAGACTAGCCAGCGGTGACTGCTCATTTGTCCATGTTCTCACCCTCTTTTTAATGTGCATTTGACACAGTTATGATCCTATAGTAAAAAGAAGTTAATGTCCTCGTTTTCCCTTTGAACGTGGAAGCACATTTCCCTTTTCATTAAAAAGGCTCTGGGAACATCATTTTAATGAGGGTAGAATGGTCTGTTCTCAGGTTGGTCAACACTGGCACAGGTGGAAACAATAGCGCCCCACTTCCATATGTTTTCACATCCATTCAAGATAAAAGGCTTTTTCAGAAAAAAAGAGAAGGAGGAAGAAGATAAGGAGGAGGAAAAGGGAGAGGAGGGGGAGGAGAATGTTGGTGCAGAGAATGTGTCAGCATTGGGACACTGGTAGTTCCTCTACTGTGTATGTTCTGAAGATCCTCAAATCCATCCCCCCAGCCCAGAGCAACTTAGCCTCTCCCCCAAGCTCCACCCCTGTATCCTCTGTCTCCTAGGTGACAGCTCAGGGTCCCTCTGAAACCATACTCTCAATGGGTCCAGTGGCTCATCATTTTCTTCTCAATCTCAAAAAACTGTTTCTCATCAATTATTTCCTGTCTCATTGAAGAGCTTTACCTTTTTCTCAGTTATCTCATCATCAAAGCCTGGAAGCCTTTGCAAGCTCTTCCTTGTCCCTTTCCCAGTAGCATCTGGTTAGTTACTGTTGAACGTGGTCCTACTTGGCCATAACCCAAGCCACTGGCTTTTTGTTCAGGTCCTCAGCATTTTTGCCTTGAAATTTGTTTGAGGGGTTAAGGGCACACAGATTTGTGACCATTATAATTCTTGACACACCCCATAGCTTTTGTTTATTATACTTTGTTTTAACTGAGATATAATTCACATAACATAAAAGATATCACTATGTGGCTTTCAGTATATCGATATTTACTATGTTTTTAACTATTACCACTAATTCCAGAATATTTTCCAAAGGAAGCCCTGAATCTCTTAGCAGTCTCTCCCAATTGCTTGGGCAACCATTAAAGTACTTTCTGTCTCTATCCTATCCTTGACCTTTGATATAAATGAAATCTACAATATGTGTCCTTTTGTGTCTGACTTCTTTCACTTAACAATGTTTTCTACGTCCATCCATGTTATAGTACATATGGATACTTCATCATTCCTTTTTATGGCTAAGTAATATTCATTCATCAATTGACATAGACATCCTTCACCCCAACCACCCTCCCCCAGGCTTTCACCACTCTATT